GTGTTATGTATGTGCTAACACGTGACTTTATGTCAGATTCCTTTGTCTTACGTGGAGAACCGCGTGCAGTGGTTTGCAAAAAGTGCCATGTTGATTTGCAAATTGTGTGAAAAGCTGAAAACGCGTTTAGAGTTTTGGAGATTTGAGCCGATGTTTTGCTCTTTGAGTGTCAGTTAAAAATAATTGTGCTCATCGTTTATATCACAGACTGAAATTTGTTTTCTTGTCTTCCACAAACATAAGGATCCTCTGGCGGCTCTCTTGAATCTTTGAGGATGCGTCTTTCAGCCACTGTTTCCAAAAAATAGCAAATGCAATTTAAGAATTGTTGACTTAGTGGACAGTTTTAACCAATAAATCAACAGCTTTTTTATAGCTTTTAATAAGCAGCTGTCTGCTTTAAATCTTGTATTATTATTATTATTATTATTATTATTATTATTTTCTTTTACTTTTAGATTAATTTCAAATGTCCTCATCTTCTGCTTGTGTTTGTGTATGGGTTCTAGACTAGATTTTTGTTGTGGCTGCTGAATTGTAAAGTTATGTTGTGCTCCAGTCTGTGCATACAAAAAAATGATTTAATTTGATTTTTGCAGACTTGCATAAAATATATTCTTAAATTGAGCATATTGCATGTTTCAAAAAGGGCTATAAGCCAGGTGTTCTCAAACACTTTATGTTGAGTACTCCCTTACAAGAAAACAGAAAATGCCCATGCAAGTGCACCTCCTATAGATTATTTGACATTTTTCCTTGTAACATCTGGTCAGTGAATTATTTCTAATTTTTCTTCTGGAGAATCCCCTCACAACCCATACGTGTACCTGACTCTGTTTTGAAGACTCCTGGCACAGCTGCCTACCTGCTGGTACTTCCTGTCACAGATCCATGGATTACAGCAAACAGGAACAATGTGGTTTCTGTTGAGAAGAAAATAACCACTGCCAAGCATTAGGGAAAAACTGGCAAAGCTCATTTGACCCCTGACATCGATTTATCTATTGTAAAGGGGGAACAATGTTGCCTGGCAACTGCATTTTACTCATCTCCTGCCCAAAACAATAAGATATAACCAACCTATGGATATAACCATACAATACAGTACGTTTTAAAAGCCTGAATTAATCTAATAATAATATTGTATGTAATTAGAGCAATATCTAAGAAGTCCATGGCCATTACCATCCAAAGTCTTTATTTAGTAACCTAAAGACAACATTTACCTATAAGATGGCAAATTAGGCTACTGTGTCTTGTTATAATAGTCGATCCTTCATGAATATACTGCAAAATGTATCAACATATTTATGTATATCACAATCACATACATATTTGTGATTTTAAATGGACAGGGAGTCTGCAGCGTATATAGTCTGCAACACTATAGGAGAAGAGAATTTCCCCTCAAATCCCAGAGCTGGGCAGATTTTTCACAATTAGAGCATCATCCCCACACTGAGGCTGGAGCACAGCCCCCGCCCTTCCTGCACGAGGAGCAGAGTAAAACCTAGTGCCAGCCCGGAGATGCGCGACAGACCCAGCAGCCACGCAGCGAGAGGAGATGTTAACCCGAGCATATCATTAAATCACAGTTTTTAGTTTCCGTTTGTTAAAAAAAACCCACAAATTATTAGACTATACATGATGCCCGTGTGGAAAACGAGTGTTGTGTCCAGACGCAAGGGGCGGCTAAACTAAAGATAATTTAACACAGATTGCACCAACACGGTTCAAGTTTTATCCGTTTGGAGTAAAATTACTCACTGAGCAGAGAGGACTAATGATGGCTCTCGTGGTCCACCTGAAGACGGCCGCGCACCTTCGGGGGAAAGGTGACAGGATCGCTAAAGTTACATTCAGAGGTAGGACCATTTTCTTTGTTTTAGGCTGGATTTTGGGAAGTGTAATCGTTCGTTGTGGTTTGCATTGATTTATTTTGGATACACAACGTGATGGGAGGTAATTAGTGCATGAAAAAAGTTTGGGAGAGCCCTCTTGGATCGGGGGTTACCGGAGATACTGCGTCTTTTATCCAAAGATGATCACTGGACTGATATTCTTCAAATTAAGGAGAAATCATGAATGCAGCACTGTAAAAAGAAAAAAAACAAGCCAGGGTTTGAAAAAAGGGATTATTCACAAAAACAATATCCTAATGTGAGTCCTTTCAGCAGTTTGAACTTGTTATACGCATGTCACGTGGTATACTATTCATAGCATGATGTGCTTTAATATAACGGCTCACACATGTTATAGTTGTAAAAAACTGTATTTGGAATTGTGTTTTCACATTCCTGTTATTGATGGTCAATAACATAACATCGCAGCTATATCCTTTCGAGTATTTTCCAGCTTTCAGGATTTTCTTATCTTAAATATGAATAGTTAAAATATTAATTATTCATGAGAGCCACAAAAAGGAAAAAACCAATTGTCTGCACATCCCTGTGCATATGGTGTAATTGTAATGATTCCTCATGTGTTTTCACTTGATGGTCCATTTGACTCATAAACCAATAATGGCGAGAAGTCAGTAGGTTCTAATTGACTAAGCTTGTATTGATCTCTAAATGTATGGAGGTGGGGGTCTCCTTTATTACACATTGGGGGTAATTGCCAACCCACTAGTACGATATAAAGGGTCACCATCCCAACACCTGCCTGTTTGCCCTCTCCTGCTGTTCGGAGGAAAAAGGGATCTCTGAAGGATTAGAGGAACATTTGGAGGGAGTTCAGTGGATTCATTCATCAACTCGAAAGAGAGAAACAGAGACAGGAAAAGAGAGGTGTGCAAGTTTCAGCACCGTGGACTGCTGCAGTGAATTCACCAAGGAATTGATACAACATGAACCGTGTCATTCAAGTCAAAGATTAGATCCTCTGATCTTTCCCCCATGGGCCAACTGTCAGCAGCACACTCTCTGCAGTTCATCTGTTTGCCAAGTTGTTAGCCAAAGCACTGATACAAGTTCAAAGCACGCATGGCTTTCACTGTTTGTCACTTGTGTCAAAAGCTGTACCATATTGTTAAAGAAAATGCAGATCACACACAATCCTCATACAATATTTTCTTATTTGATGCATGTTGAACACACCAATTAAAACAAGTTACACTGTGTTATGTGATGCATCAGAATATGTGGCCTGAGGAATAGAATATCAACTCTATAGTGGATTCAAAGTTGTTAAATTAGTTAAATCCTAACAGAAATGAGTCACAGAATACGGTGTAACTGCTTACTGTGGCCACTAGGGGGGCAACACTGACATATCACCACACCACTGACAATCATCACTCATTGATTCACCATCTTTTAGGTTGATAAGAAAAAGTTGTTAGCAAACAGCCACGTATTTACACCTCCAGCAGTATTAATTAAAGCATCATTATCACTCAATTAGAGTCGTGTTTCCTGGCTACCTGGTGAGTTTAATTATTCACTCTTAAATGCTCTTCCAACAGTTATGAATTATCTGGCTAAATTACTGATAATTGCTCCACTACCTTCACTAGCTAGTTGCCACTTGTGCATTAGCATATAATATGTATAATTAGCATAACGAACAGGTGTTAGCTACATCCGGTTCAGAGAGGTAACACCTGAACGATCATTAACAAGCGATTTAATGAACCCAGAAGGTTTAAAACACTTGCCTTTTTTCAGACAGTTTATAGGAGTCCCAAACATCTTCATCTACCTGGAGAAAAAAGCAGGTCCCTGATGAAGAAGATTTCGAGTCAGTTTCCTATCCAGGCAGGCGGCCTCCATCTTTGTTTTGATACGCAACGTGAGAGAGGTTTTTATTATTTAAAAACAGACTGAATATTTACAACAACATGGTTAGACATTGGCATCCTGGAATCAGCATTAGGACAGTAAGTGCTATGTTCTTCTTACATTTGGTTAAATAAGGTGATTAAATGTTGCCCTAATGATGTATGCTAACACGAGGCACAGACTGGGGATAGTGCAAAGCAGGTCATTTAAGCAATGGGTTTTTAGACTATTTTGCTGAAACAAGGATATAGACTAAGCAGTGTTGGGTGAAGTACTCAGATATTTTACCTAACTAAAAGTACAGATTCTATCTTCTTAAAATACTCCACACCAGTATTTTAAGGCTGTGAATTCAAAATTTGACTTAGGTAAAAGTCCAAAAGTATTAGCATTAAAGTGTACTCAAAATGGATTATTTCAGAAAAATGTAAATGACATAAGAAGTAGAAGATAAGTGTACCTTAATAAGTATTAGTAAAAGTAATATTCCTCACCATCCAAATTGGATATTTTCATAGAATTATATTTTTATGGTTATTATATCATCCTCTTTTTATGCATACAAGAGCATTTTAAAGTTGTCGTGTGTCAATGTGGACCAAATGTAAATACTTAAAGTACTGTGCAGATTACCAGTACAGTACTGCATTATATTATATATATTATTAAACTATATCAGCATATCATGTGTTTTTGAGTGTACAAAGAAACTAGTAACTGTGAGTGTTAAAATAAATATAAATAGTACAATATTTGCCTGTAGTGTAATAGAAGTGTAAAGTAGTATAAAATGAAAGTACTCAAGTAAAAGTCAAGAAAGTACTTAAGAACATTACATGAGTAAATGTACTTTCAGACATTGGATATGAGAGGTTAAAGTGAATAAAAACAGCTAGGTTGCGGGCTCGGTTTGGCTCAGTTAAACCGAGGGGAGCTGCGTGTTCAGGATTGAATCCTCTGTCGATGCATCACCCCTTACTCTTTTATTGTATGTGACAACATGTGGGGAATTTCTATTTTTAAGTCACTTACTGTTAATAATTTATCTGGAATGACTTTATTTTATTATGAAACATAGATAAGATCCCAGTTTTGTTACACCATTTCCTCTCACATTTACACAAATGTACTTCTCTGTTCTGTATTCCAAGATGAGGCCCCTCTCCTCAGCCCTGCCTCTGCACTGTCCTTTCTCTGGCCAAATATCTTAAGTCTCTCCAAGTTTGCAAAGTAAGGGCTGTTTCCTGTTAGGCTGACTATGAATCCAGGTATGTTATACGGTATACCATACTTTAAGGCATTCTGAAACTTATTTTCTCAGCTTGTGAGTAGAGCCTTTTGATAGAAGGCATGGTATATATATATATATATAGGCAGCTGTGGCTCAGTGGATAGTGAGTTCGAGTCCCACTGCAGTCAGCATGTCGTTGTGTCCCTGGGCAAGACACTTCACCCCAAATTACTCCTGTGGGGATTGCCCACAGTATTGAGTATGTAAGTCGCTTTGGATGTAATGTAATGTATTCAATCAGAGAAAGAAATCACTCTGAGTGGTCAGATCTAAAGTGTGTGTTTCATTTAGGTAATTGTGGGATATTAGATAACAGAGATAAGAGAGTCACAGGAAAAGTGGGCGAGTGAGAGCAATGCAACAACAGACACAAGCCGGGATCAAATTAATCATACTCTGAATGACCACGGCGCTTACAATATGATTAGTTTAATTCAGATAGATGGATGTTTCTGATTGAGTCTTGCTCATTATTTTTGTACACAATGAAAACTGGTTTTACTTTAGCATGTTTAAGGGTTTAAGGAGGCTGTATACGCACTTACGTTGTTGAATGGTTTGTCTCTTTGTCACCAAAAATGTTCATGATTTAGATTTTCATGAAACTTGATGGAAGGGTGTAGTTTAGGCCAAGGAAAAACACATTAAAATGGGAAATGTATCTCAATCACATGGTCGCTACATGCATTATATTCTACTTCTAGATACTGCCTTTGCTCGGCCATTACAATTGTTCTGTTTGGAATCGTCGCGTAACCGTATGAGCTCCTTGCGGGAAACAAGAACAAGTTTGGGAGCTTTAACTAAGTGTAATGCCTCACTTGGCAGCAATCAGCAATCAGCAATCAGCCAGCTCCAGAAGCTTAAAGACACTTCAAACGCTGTGAGCAGGGTTTGAACCTGCGCGGGGAGACCCCATTGGATTTCAAGTCCAACGCCTTAACCACTCGGCCTGCTGGTGCTCGAAAGATGGCAATTTTCAATGTGTTGGAGTAACTCCATTGCACCCCTGGTCTTCTTTCCACACTGCTCACAACACTGCTCTGAGTGAAAGTCAACCAAATGCTCAGAAAAGTCTTCAGCACAAAGATCCATACTACAGAGAGACCATTTGATGTGAGTGCTTGAACTGCTCTGTGTGGTGGTGACGGCTGGAGGGCATGATGCACCTGCACCTGAGCTGCTCTGTGTGGCGGGGACTGACTGCTGTGTCCCTGAACTTGAGCTGCATGCTGCCTCCAAGTTCTGACTTCCTGATGCAGCTGCGGGATCACCTGACTGTGGAGAAATAGAGGTTATCAAAGTCATCAAAGTTATCAAAGTCAACTTTATTGTCAATCTTCTGCTTGTACGATACAGGCAGGCAGATCGAAATGCTGTTTCTCACAATCCCGAGGATACATATACATGTGTGTATGACTAAATAAATATGACTGAATATACATTTCGAAATGTTATTGTTAACAAGAGTAAAGCAATTCAAGCATAGCTATTAGGGACATAATTGCAAACAATGCATTTTCCTGTGCAGACACCTAAAAGTGAATACACATTGGTTTATGGCAACAATTGTCCGTGCAGGATTAACTTAAACTGAATTATCTAACTTAAATATAACCATCACTCACCACATGATATCCACATTTGCAGAGGATTCTTCTGCCGAAGATATCAATGTACCGGACTGGGAGGTTGAATATAGGTGTCAAAGGACAGGCGTCAATACGCTGAATGACAGACTTCCATTTCTTGGGTTAGGGCTCCCTCATGTATATGTCACACACATACTGAACTTTATTTAGACTCACTTATATGTAAAACTTACAAAAACCAATTGTTACCATTTCGTTAAGTTGTATCGATCCCGTATTACGTTTGTTACGGTAAAAGGACACACGTACTGTGGATTTTCACTATAATATGTATTAGGTAGAACCGAATACCGTTGTTAGAGGCACGGCTAATTAAACTTTGACTTAATAGATTGAATTTATATGGTAGTGAGTGGGTACTATTCAGGGTGTAAACGTCTCCTAAGAAGACGGCTTCTATAGTTACATGGCCTGAACCTCCAACTTTTATCCACAGTTTCCTGTCCAGTTTGCGACTTTGTCTGAGGTAAAGAACCGAAGCCAGAGACAGGGCAGACTTGGCCCGACGAAGGGGGACCGTATGGGACCACCGTACTAGGTCGGGTTGTTCGCAGCCCAAAGTGACAGAAGCAGTAGTGACTTTATAGTTCCTTTACAGTCAACCACTTTAATCTCTTTATATGTATCTTTGTCCTATGATATGACATTTGTAGTGTAACATAACAGTAACTAAACAAGATGAATCGTCATACATTAATTTATCGCGGTCGGTTAAATGTCGTCGTCGTTATAATTAATTCTTGTGTCACTAGTAGTTATTAATAATTACGTGCGTCGTCGTCGTCGTCGTTCGTTATAATTGAACTTCTTGGTCATTTACGTAATTATTAATAATACTTCAACAATTTATACATAATTCGTGGATACTCTTACATACGTCATGGAATCGACACTAATATAATGAAATTGACTTAATTTTTATAGACTCGTCGAATAAAAGAGGTGGTTTATTGCCGTAAAATCATAATTCAGGGCGTGTGAAGGATTTTTATTGGCATGTCAATGTCGCGCGCGGTTTAGGCTGCCAATGATTGTGTAGTTGTAAATAACGATAAAACGGGTCCCTTTCTCAAGTAACCCTTATACACCATATAGTTCATTATTAGAAGGCGGATACAGCCCACAGGGGAAGATACGAGTTATTAATTACTGGCTCCAACCAAATATATTTACCAGTCCTTCTTATTTTTCGCAATGTACCTCGATTGGAAATTGTTTGGCCCTCGATTGAAATTGTTGCCCTGGCCTACGGGCTACCGCCGCAGAGTCTTATTTGGTGCCAAGTGATAATGTTTAAATGAAAGGGGTGGCCTACTTTTATAGTACCGTCGATATAGATAGCACATTAATTATGTTCCACAGTAACAATAATGACAAAAAGAAAAGAAACGAAAGGAAGAACGCCTCTCCTCTCTACCCTCCTCCCACGCTTGGAAAACCGGGGTAAAGTGCACAAACCGGGTCATCGACGGGTCTTCAGGTAACCTTCTTTATTTTTTTTTTATTCCTGGACATCCTTGTTTATTCTCTATTCTCTTTGGAAGCAGGCCTGGAGCGAGAGCCTGTGACCAATTCCCTTGACAAATCCTGACAGATCCGTGAACCATGCCGTAGACCAACCCGTCATGCCGCCTCCCTGCCGTGGACAGGACAAAAAGGTGCTAAATGTCATTAGTCTGCGTCCAGTTCTGTAAGTGTCGACAAATAATGCGGGACTCCTACCGTTTACCCCCAACCCTGTTAAACGATGTCCTGAATAACATTACTCCCTATTGTTCTGTTTACCATCTCGCGAGCGTATCGTTAATTCTCGCTCTCCATCGCCCTAGCTAGGTGTTTTTTGTGTCCTTGAAATCATAAAGTCAAGTCCTATTGTATCTCCATTTTTGACATTCCTAAATTCTATAAACGAACTAACAAGTGAAAAGGTCGATTGTACAATCACCTTTTCAACTTCGTAGTTCGTTTATAGAATTTAGAATGTCAAAAATGGAAGATAAAGGGACTTGACTTTATGATTTCAAGACCCTCCTACGCCCGGTAGTAGGGCGATGGGAGAGCGTACGATTCCTCGCGAGATAGCAACTCGATTAATGGATTAGTTGTTATGTAGGCGAGGGAACGCATCAAAAGATTTAACAAAAGAGGTTAAAGAGGTACGGTAGGCAAAGCTGCCCGGATGTATTTGTACACTTAGAACTGGACCGAGAAGATGCCAACATGACATTTTGAGTCGACTTTTGTCTGCTCCACCGGGGCAGGTGGCGAGGCGGCCAACCCTGGGACGGGTTCGAGTTCAGATGTTAAGGATTGTCAAGGATTGTCAAGGATTGTCAAGGGCTTGGCTTCCAGGCTGCTTCCGCAGGCTGGTCCAGGATTGGTCCAGGATTGGATTGGTGGGTTACTGCCCGTGATGGGGTTGTGCACTTTACCGTTTTCCATGCGTGGAGGAGTGAGGTGAGTGTGTGTGTGCGTCTTCTTGTGTGTGTCTGTTCTGTGTGTGTGTGCCATTTATTGTGTGTCTGTGAACGTAGTGAATGTGCTGTTATGATGGGAGTGGTACTAAAAGTAGCCCCTTTCATTAAACACTAAACTGTGGCATAGTCAGACTTGCTAAAGCCGTAGCTCGGGTATACAGCACCAATGGTCAATCGAAGGCTGAGAATTTGGACGCAACATTTAATCGAGTACGATGCGGCATCGCAAAATATAGACAGACTGTAATATCATTTGGTTGGAGCCGTATTTAAGTAACATCGTAATCTTCCATGTGGGGCTGTATCGCCTTTTTAATAACTAATTGTGGTAATCAAGTTTCAAAATTGGAAGACCCAGGTTTTATCGTCATTTACAAACACACCATCATGGCACTTAACAGCGACATTGACATGCCAATAAAATCTTCACACGCCTGAAATTATTATTTATAACGGCAAATACGGATTGCAATCAACAGATGTCACTTTTTTCACCGGTATGACCAGAATTGTAGACAGGGTGGATGGTCGTGTAACCGCTATAACGTGATCATATTGATTATAACATAACAGAAAGCCACCTCTTTCTTGCGAGCTATAAAAATAAGCAATTTCATTATATTAGTGTCGATTTCCATGTCGTAAGATGTAAAGTAAGTATACGAATTATGTATAATATTGTGAAGTATTATTATAATTAGTACGACACAAGAAATTAATTATAACGACGACGCGTAATTATTAATACTACGTGTAAGTGACACAAGAGTCTAATTATAACGAACGACGACGATTTAAACACCGACCGCGAATAAATTATGTATGACGATTTCATCTTGTTAGTTCTGTTATGTTACACTACAAATGTCATATATAAGGAAAAGATGATAATAAATGATTAAGTGGTTGAACTGTAAAAGGAACTATAAAGTCACTACTGCTTCTGTCCATTTTGGGCTGCACAACGACATAGTACGTGGTCATACGGGTCCCTTCGGTGGCCAAGCCGTGGCCTGTNACTCTTTCACCTGTGGGGAAATTGCAGGATTAGCTCCAGGTCGCCCTTTTTATTTACTACAAGAAAAATGTGTCTTTTTATTTCATACAGTTCATTTTGGATTGAGACAGGGAAATAATCTAAACCTCACGCGTAGCGCTTCACTGTCAAGGGGAGCGTGTATGTAATTACATTGCAAATACTGATTTGAGCCCCACCACTGTGGGTTAGCCGATTACCCAACAAAAATACTATGGAGCCGCACCACTGATTGTGACCAAACCGTTTGAGACCCACCACTGAGATAACTAATTTTGATGATAATACTTTTCTACTTTCACTTGAGTAACATTTTGAATGCAGGACTTTGACAGTAACAAAGTATTCCTACAATCTGGTACTTCTACTTTTACTCAAGTAGGCCTACAAGATCTGAGTACTTTTACTCAAGTGCAAGATCTGAGTAGGCTACTGCTCTGTGTACTGCAGTAGGCTACTCACCTGAGTTGTAGTAAAGCTGGTGGCAGAGGTTGGCGCCGTCGATCAGCAGCCGCCTGTGAGAGAGGCGGAGATCCCGGTAGATCCTCTGGTGTTTCTCCAGCAGAGTGGTCAGGCCTTGGACTCCCATCCTGGGCAGAGAGTTTCGGAGGAGCCGTTGGATGGGCTACTGCTGCACCTCAACCCTCCCTTAAGTTTCACTTTCCTCACATCACAGTGCAGTTCAGTCTCTGCCTTCGCTCCACCGTGTTAAGCCATTATTTCTCAAGTCATTCTTGAGATATTAAGTCATTATTTTGTAATATGAAGTCATTATTTTTTAATATTAAGCCATTATTTATAATATAACGTTTTCATTTTTGAAATATAAAGTTTTAATTTTGAAATATAACGTTTTAATTTTTTAATATAAAGTCTTTATTTTGTTATAGAAAGTCTCTATTTTGTATTATTCATTCATTATTTTTAGATATTAACTCATGTCAGTTAAAAAGTTCCTAATTTAAATGACTTATACTTGCCTCCCTTGGCAAGAATGTTTTTGTAAAGTTTGGAAACGGAAAGTGAAACTCAGAGGAAAAATCTCGTTTTAACCATACAGTCTGTTTGACCGGTTTGGCCCCAAGTGCTCCTCTGGCAAGCGGTCACATGTCCTGGAACCACCTCGATGGAAAATGGGTAAAATCTACTGCAGGGGGGCAGCTAAATAATTGTTGAATGTTTTGAAAGTTTTGATTAGATACATGAACTCAACCGAGAAAGCAACCCTACTCTTAATATGATTTATTTATTTAATGTATTATTTGATCAATAAATTATTTTTAAGAGCTTTCGTTCAAACATTTTCCATTATGTAACCTTAACTATATTGTGTGTGGGGCTAAACTAAAATGTCATGGGGACATACAGATTCGGCCTTTAATGGTCCAAGGACAGGACAGGTGAATACAACTATGCCATGAAAGGAGGAGAGACGTTGGTATAATTATTACTATTCACCAAAACATTA